CCGGTACCGTCCGGTTCCTCCGTGCGGCCCCCCCCGCCGCCTCCGTTCCCCCGCTGCTCTTCCCTCCGTACTTCCGCGCTGCCCCGAAGGCACCGCCCGGGCATCCCGGTACCTCCGGTACCGCCGGGCGTCTCTCCCGGTGCTTCTAGTAACCCCGGGCGCTCTCGGACACCTTCTCGGTACCCCCGGGTACCGCGTCCCGCTGTCCCCTCGGCTTCCTCCGGCCCCGGTGCTGGCTCCACGCCGGGATTGAGACCCTCCCGGCGCGACCCGTCCCCCTGCCCGGGGCAGGGCTGCGGCTCCTGGGGACCCCCGGGGAACCCCAACCCCTGCCCGGGGACCCGGCACCCTGCGGCGGGGGGTCTCCCAGCACCCCCGAGGTCGCCCTGGCGGGGGCGGTCGGGCTGCTTGGCCCCACCGAGGGGACCCATCGGGTGCCAGCCGCAGCGTTGTCCCCTCCCCAGCACCTTAGGGGGGGGGCCGGCCAGCCCTGAGCATTGCCTGGGGGGTCGCACCCCACTGGGTGTCGGAGCTCCGAGGGTCCAACGGGGTCCTCAGCACCCTGCGAGGGGGGCTCCGTGCCCTAAGGGGTCCTCGGTGCCCTGCAGTGCATCGGGCTGCTGGTAGAGGGTGCTGGGGGGGCACCTGGGGTGCCCTCCACATCTTTGTGGGCATGGGGCACCCCCCGGAGCAAAGCGGGACCCCGGGGTGTGGTCCTGTGGCCCCCGTGGGACAGTGCCCTGAGGGGGCTTTTGGGGTCCTGGGCTCTGTCCCCTCATCCCCACCAGCCTGGAGCAGCAACTTGCACTCTGGGCCCCTGTACAGGTCACTCTTGTTGTCCCCCCACCCCCGGTGCGTGCTGGCACCCATGGGCTGGCACTCAGCTTTCTGGCAGGACTCAGCCAAGGTCACGGCTGGCTGCAGGGAAGGTCCCCAGCTGGTGCCCAGAGGAACGCCAGTGCAGCTGAAGACATGTCGCCCTGCACCTTCGCCCTTCTCCTCCTCTTCCTCCTGCCGGTAGGACCGTCCTGATGGGGCTGGGGGCCGCTGCGTATCTGCAAGGGGGACAGCAGGACAGACCCCGTGCAGCCTCCTGGGCAGAGAGCTCTGCCCCCCCCCTCCCAGCCCCTCTGCCCTGCTCTCTGTCCTGTAGGACACGGCGCCCAACGTGCTGACCTTCCCCAAGTCCAGCCATGGGCTCCGGCGGCAGAAAAGGGACTGGGTCATCCCCCCCATCAACTGCCCCGAGAACGATCGGGGGCCCTTCCCCAAGCAGGTGGCGCAGGTACGTGGCCCTGTGGGGGACGGGGCACAGGAGAGGGGAGTCCCCAGAGTGACAGGACCCCTCTAACCCCCCCTTCCACCTCGCCCCCAGATCAGATCCAACAAGGACAAGGAGACCAAGGTTTTCTACAGCATCATGGGGCAGGGAGCAGACAGCTACCCCGTGGGTGTCTTCACCATTGAGCGGGAGACAGGGTGGCTGAAGGTGACGAAGCCACTGGACCGGGAGGAGATCGACAAATACATCGTGAGTGTGGGGCTGTGGGGTGGGGAGGGGACAGTCTCCGGGACTGTGCGTGGGCTGATGGTGTCCCTCGCAGCTCTTCTCCCACGCCGTGTCAGCCAACGGGCAGCCTTTGGAGGACCCCATGGAGATCATCATCACTGTGACGGACCGGAATGACAATGCGCCCGTCTTCACTGAGGCGGTTTACCACGGCACCGTGCAGGAGGGGGCTAAGCCAGGTGAGACCGATGCCGCTGAGCAGGGGGCAGTGCCAGGGGGACAGGGGAGATGTCACCAACAACCGCCTGCTCCAGGCACCCCTGTCCTACAGGTGCTGGCCACAGATGCAGATGATGCGGTCTACTCCAAGAACGGGGCTGTGGCCTACTCCATCCTGCGCCAGAGTCCGGACCAGCCCCAGCCCCACATGTTTGCCATCAACAGCTACACCGGGGTGATCTCCGTGGCCACGGCAGGGCTGGCGGCACAGGTAAGTCTGGCTCACAGCCCCTCGTTCCCCCTGCCACCCCCAGCCCCGTTCGGGAGTGATGCAGTCTCTCGCTGCAGGTGGTCCTCGAATACACCCTGGAGATCCAGGCGGCTGATTTAGAAGGCCAGGGGCTGCAGGCCACCACCACCGTCCTCATCAAAGTGCAGGTGAGGTGCCGAGCCCACCCCATGCCACCCTGGCAGGCAGGTTAGACCACAGTGAAGCCGCTGCCTGCTTCCTGGCAGCCTCCACGTGCCCGGCCGCCGCGGCGCCGACGCGCTCCAGGCGCTTTCCAGGGAGGAAGGCGAGGCCGGGATGGCAGCTCCACCATGGCTCCTCCTGGCCCGGTGCCCCAACGTCCCGCCGGGCTCTGGTCCACCAGCCCTGGGGCCGTGGTGCTGCCAGAGCATGGGTGCTGGCGGGGCTCCTGGGTGCACCTCCCATGGGGAAGCCACCGGGGCCGGTTCAGCCCAGCTGGGGAGGAGCGCCCGGTCCCGCCGCAGCCCTGCGTCGGGATAGCGGCATCCAGCCTCGCCAGCTTGGTGGGGAGAGGCCACGGCACCAGGAAGGGCGGCCGGGGCAGGGGATGGCGTTTTGTACGGTGTCACCAGCCACAGGCTCCTGGCTGAGCAGGATGGAGAAGAGCCAGGTAAGCAGCCGGGTTGCCCTCGCTCACCATTGTGCTCCTCCGGTGTCCCTGCTCCAGCTGGTGATGGGATGGCGGTGGGAGCCGGTCCCGCTCCAGAGAAGCAGCCTGACCCTGCCCGGCCGGAGCAGTGGGATGCAGCCCCCAGCTCGTGCTCCCACCCTGCCAAGCACAACCTAGGGGCTACCAGAGGGGAAGGGCCCTGGCCAGCACTGCCCTTGACCCCGTGCTTGCTGCTCGGGCCAGCTGCCCACCTTAGGCAGCTCCGGAGCACTTGCAGGGTTAACGTCTGCCCACACGTGACGCTGCTGGCAGGGTGACAGGGACAGGGCTGCTGGGACACCGGGAGGGGACTGCTTCCTCCCTAGGTCCAGGCCAGCCCTTGCTGCAGCCCACCGGGCCGGGAGGGTGAGCGGGGACCCCGGGACTGCCCCAGGCTCGCAGCCCTCCATCCAGGCAGGAACCCAGCAGGTGCCCACCCTGCAGTTGGCAGCGGTGCCTGGAGTTCTGCCAGGAGAGGCAGTGCCCCGCTGCAGGCAGAGCCCCGGCACCACAACCCCAGGGCTGGCGGAGCTGAGCCCCACGGCATGGGAAGGACGTGGGTGTCTGCATCCTGGCCCTGGGGCACAGCAGGGTGCTGGGCACAAGGGGCTGTCCTGGGGCAGCCCCCAGCTGTGTGGCCACCAGCCTGGGGGCTGCAGGGAGGGGGGCACACAGGCAGGCTGGGAGAGAGGGGCTGGGAGTACCTGGGGAATACCCGGGGGGTTGGTTCTGGCACTGCCCGCCGTAGCACGGCAGAGAAGAGAGGCGGACAGTGCTGCCACAACATGTCTCAGCCCCACTTACTCCTCTGCCCCAGGCCGAAGGCATGTCCGAGACGGGGAATGGCTCCCTCACCACCCACGTGTTGAACACGGTCACGGGGCTGCCGGCATCCAGCCTTAGCGTCCGCCTGGCCCAGCTGCAGGAGCCGGGGCCGCAGTGGACGGAGCTGGTGGAGAGGTAGGAGAGCTGGCAAGAGGGAAACGGCCAGGGGGTGCTGCTGGCTGTCCCCCACCAGCCAGGAGAGGCGGCTCAGGGGCTGGGGACAGCCACCACGGTAGGGCTGGCTCCTTCTGATTTCAGGTGGACAGACCACGACGGACGCTGCCCACCCTTCCTGGCCTCCGGGCAGGCCAAGGCTGGCACCTACAAGCTGCGCTTTGAGACGGCAGCGTACTGGCAGGGCCTGGGGCACACCAGCTTCTACCCCTTTGTGGAGGTACAGAGCATGGGGAGCAGGGGACAAGGGCCACAGGAGCCAGCTGTTGCCAAATTCAAAGGGAGAACGGAGCAGGGGTTGGGGTGCCATGGCCAGGCTTGGGGGAGCTGCCTGCTCCCTCCTGCATCCCGCAGTGCCCAGATCTGGCCACCTGAGTCCCATGGGAGAGGGGTCCCAGCCACCACCTTTTTGCTCTCCTCCAGGTTGTCTTCACCATCACGGACCCAGCCCAGAAGCTGCACATCCCACTGCTGATCAGCCCCTACTCCTACACCACGTACCGCGGCAGTTAGGGAAAAGGCACGTCCTCCCACCCAGGGATGTGGGTCACCAGCTGGGAACTACACCACCGACACCATTAAAGGTTTAAAACAGCTCCATTCGTCTCAAAAAAGGTCTCCTTTCTGGGGGCAGCACAGGCAGGGCTGCTGGAGGGGGAAAGGAGGGGAGCCCCAGGGGAGCACAGGGGCATCCCAGGAGGCAGGGGGACTTGGGGGGGCCCTGTGCAACTCCCTGCTCCCTGCTCCAGCCTGGTCCTGCAGGTGGGATGCCAGGAGCCCTCCAGTGGCACACTGGCCCCACTTGGTCAGAGCCAACCCAGCTGGCATCTGCCTATGGCTGGCATCCCCCAGGGCAGAAGTGAGGGGCTGCTCTGGAGCAAAGCCCGCCCCCAGGGAGGAGAGAGAGGGTCCTTCAGGTCCTCCTGAAGGCTTGCTGAGGTCCGTTTAATGGTGCAGAGCACCAATAAGGCACAACTTCACTTGCTGGCTGGTACTGTGTGTCCGTCGGTGCTGGCTGGCATCAGGTGGGCACAGCAACGAGTCCGGCGGGGCCCTGCCCCACCGCCTGCCCCAGCACGGGGCTCGCCAGGGGCTTGAAGCCCAGGTTGTCCAGGGGGATCCCAAAGGCTGTCAGCTTTGCCTTGAACGTCTGCAGCATGTCATCGTGGGCCTGCAAGAGAAGTGCCCCCCTGGTCAGCCCCAAGCTCGGCTCCAGCCCAGTCCTTCCGTGCCTGGGCACGGGCTCCCTGCGCAAAGCGGGGACCCCAATATGGCTTTCTTTGCAGGGCAAACAGGGGAAACTGCAGCCTGGGCTGGGTCCCGCCTGGCCCAGGGCATGAAGCAGCTCAGCTGGCCTGCTGCGAGTTCCCTTCCCTCTGCTCTGTGCACAGCCTGGAGCAGGAGGTCCCTTTTCCACCCACAAAAGCTGCAGCCACCACCCAACAGCCCCCCAAGTCCCTTCCCTCACCTTGCAGACTCGGGCCAGCTGGAACTGCAGGTCCTTGATGGTGGCATTCTTGGAATTGAGCACGTCCTGCAAAGGGAGACAGCGTGTCAGGCAGCGGCTGCCCAGCCCCGGTGGCACAGTGGCCGTGCCGCAGCCGGGAGCGGCGTAGCAGAGTGCACGAAGGAGCTGCTGCACGGCGGCCGAGCTGGCACCGGGGCTTGGTTCAAGCAGAGCAGCTCAAAGCATGGCCTGGCAGGCGGCCACCACCCTGCTCCCTTTGAGCCAGCACTGCCAGGGACAGCCAGCCTCAGACAGAGGCGAAGGACAGGGACCTCCCAGACCAACTACACAAGTGCCAGCACAACCCCGCCACCATTGTCTGTCCCGCAGGAGCGACAGCAGCACCTGCTCGGGCAGCACTGCCCTGCCCTCACGGCATCAGGGGAATTACAGGGAGAGAGGCTCCCCGAGGAGCTGCTGGAGCCAGCCGAGCAGAGGAATTCCGGGGCCCCAGCAGCTGCGGGAGAGCTCGACGCCGTGACACCTTCCCAGGAATGTGTTTTCCTTCCTCTGCTGTGGCACCTGCTAGCAGGTGACACATCCGCTGCCCCATCCTATGGCCCCCAGACTGCTGCGTGCGTCCCCAGGGTACCCTGGCAAGAGGGTGGCCACAAGCTTCACTGCCACCCACCGCAGAGGGGACCAGGAAGGGGACGGGCTGGCGCAGGACAAGCGGGAGGGCAGCGGGGCAGTGGCCAAGCTGAGCATGGAACCCAGGTCCCCCGCGTCCCAACCCAACCTGAAACAAGTGTTGCTTCTCAAGTTACGGCTGCGACAGGCTCCAGGAATGTGGGTCTCGGAGCCGCCGCGCTTTCTGTGTACGTATTTTTAGCACTCCAGACCATTGCAGAGGCCCCGGGAACCCGTCTACGCTGTCTCTGCAGCAGGGAGGCCAGGCGAGGTGCCACTGGCTGTGACTCCCCACGCACAGAGCACCCCGGGTCGCCGATGGACCCCGCACACAGCCAGCTGCTCGGCAGCACAGAGCGCTGGTGAGCCCTGCTTGGCCTGGGGCCATTCTCCTCGAAACAGGCCCCACCTGAGGCCGAGATCAGTGCCAAACTCTGACACCCACACGCTCCGCTCTCGAGGGAGAGCCGGAGTGCCCTGCGGCACCACGCGTGGCCCTGAGAGAGCTGGGAACGAGTGATGTGGCAGCTACAGCCACGTAGGATGGGAACTCGCATGCTCCAAGGCCTGCCTTCACCCCAGAGCAGCCTCTGCCCCCCAAGTCCAGCCTTTGCAGGGCCCCACAGCAGCGCACGGTACCTCCAGCTTGTGCGAGACCAAGGAGAGTGCGTCTGGGTCGAGGTTGGAGGCTGCAAAGACCTCGCTGAGCTCCACCTCCTTTTTCTCCAGGACGCTGAGGAGTGCTTTCAGCTTGCGCTCCAGGAGCAGGTTCTTGAAGCCCGTCTTCTGCTGCACCTCCTTAATGGCTTTGGTGAACTTCTGATAGAGCTCATCTCGCTCCGCCTGCACCTGCTCCCAAAGACAAGAAGCCTTCACACCGCCCCCAGGACCCCCTGGGCTGGTGGCCACCCGGGGCTGGCAGCAAACAGGTCCAGCAGCTCGGCCCTGCCTGCTCCAGTGAGAGCCCGGCTCGTTCCCCACGGCACCTGCAGCCCGCAGGGAACGCAGGTGCTGGAGCACAGCTTCCCTCCCTCCTCGGCTGGCACCTTCCTCAGCACCTGCACTCCTGCCTTCTCCTCCCCCACTACGCACAGGGCACCCCCCACAGCAGAGCGGGCTGACAGGATCTCTGCGGCACTATTTTAGACCTCAGAGAAGGCCCCACAGCACACAGGGGTCTGTCCTCTCCTCCTCGCAGCTGGCAGGAGTCCCCGGCTCACAGCTAGTTAATAAGTGTCCTAATTAGAACACAATCTCTCCTCCACAGCCTACTTCTGAATGCACTGAATATGTTGCTGCCTTAATGATGGATTGTTAACGAGGCCTCAGATCAATGTTCATATTCCTGGGGATTTCTACGAATTGCAAATGAGCTCTCTTCTGCCTCAACAGATTTATCTGGGTTAGCTGGGGGGGAGGGCTGGGAGGAAAAGGCTGAATCTGGGAGAACTCAGTCAACAGGACTCATCCCGAGCCGCCCTGGCACAGCAAGCCAGGGGGAGAGACTCCCGAATTCCAGCAGAAGGAGGGAGTGAGCTGTGGCCAGGGGTGGTGCCCCAGGATTATCTCTCCCCATTGCTCAGCCCCTGAGCTGCTGCTGCGGCCAGTCCCTCGCAGGCTGGGAGGGGACCACCGGAGCGTGCATGATTGCTTAGCAAAGTACAAGGACAGGCCTGTCTGCTGACCGTGGGAGATGCCAAAGCTGTGAGAAGCTTTGTTGTTATCACACGGCTCTGGATTAGAGCTTCAGAAAGCCCTGGGTTAAGCACAGACTCTCTGCTAAGCCCCCACGCCCAATCCTCTGTGGAGCGCTCACAGTTTGGAGAGGGAAGTAGGATGCCCAGTCACACCTGCAGCTCTCACCTTACTGAACCTCTGCTCCAGCACTTCATGTTCCCACCGAAGATCCTTCAGTTCCTTCTGGGTGACTTTCAGACGAGCTTTTGTGTTCTGCAAACAGGAAAGGACAGTTAAAGAGCATGGGTTTCTTTGGGGAGTGTGGGGGATGTGTTCTGGGGAGGGAGAAGAGTGACCAGCAAAGAGATATGAGCAAATAAAAAAAAAAAAAACCAACAGGCAGCACCCACACCAACTCCCTTCCCACTCTGCTGCGGGGGCTACTCTTGTTTCTCATTGCCAGAGTCCTGGGAGTTCCATCTGAGGTCTTAAAAACACCCAGCTAAGCTGAAAAGGACTCGAAGGACTTTGCTCAGTGATCCAGCCAAGCCAAGCAGCAGAGGTCACTGCTGAGCGACTCCCTCCAGGAATCAGCTGGGATGACTCCAGGACTGACAGGGCTGGCCACTCACCGTCAGGACCTCCTTGTCCTTGTCATAGTGAGCCAACTTCTTCTGCAGCTCAAACACCTGCTCCTGGGCCTGCTGCAGGGTCTCCTTCAGCTGCTTCTTCTGGAGCAGCAGATCTGCCTTCTCCTTTTCCAACTGATTCTCTTTCTTCTTCATCTCTTCCATCTGCTCCTGTTCTTGGAAACACAAGTGCCAACTCCTGGGAGCTGCCCTGCTCCTCAGAGCTTCTCACACCCTCTGGTTGCTGGCCCAGCAAGATGCATCTCCCTGTGCTTTGCTGGTGTAATGGTGTACAACCCTCAGGAGACCAGCAGCACCCACACTGCCCCCTGGGAACCAGCCAGATCTGGGTGAAATCCTCACAGGACGGACACCTTAGTGGAAGGGTGACACTGACACCACAGGCCAGACAAGCTACAGCACGGGGGCAGGCAATACCTTCAGCAAGCTGATGAGTGCCAGGTTTTTGAGAGTGATATCATTGTAGTAGTTCTTGATTTCATTGAAGGCCTTCTCATGGTTCTTCATCAGCTCACTGATGTGGCTGTTCTTCCTCTCTTCCACCTCGTGGATCTCCGTCTTCCTCCGCAAGTCAAGCTCGTCCCGCAGCACTTGCATCTTCTTGGTGTACTTGGCCTCAATCTCTGGGGGAGCACATGGGAGGCTGAGTGAGGATCTCCTGGAGACCCTGAATAATGCACCCCAGTTCCATTAGTCAGTGCCAGCCTGGCATGTGCCACCACGGCATTACTTAAGGACAAGATGCTCGTTAGCAGCATCACCGCAGCTGCCACCAGCGCGTGGAGCAGTTACGCTGGGACCATGGAGAACAGAGCCCAGAAATAGCATCCTTGGAAAGAGGGCATGGAAATGCTCCAAGTCAGCCCGTGAGAACCTGAAACGTCCCCTGAGGAGATGACTGCAGCGAGGACTCTGCAAGGGCTCCTCCAGCCTCCCCACCCCGCAGCCTGGAGAAGCGCTGCCAGGCAGCTGTGCTCAGCAGTATGGCCTGGCAGCAGGGACAGGCGCCCTGCCTGCACCCCTCAGCTCCCACTACAGACACCCCACCTCGTTCCGTTTGCCCAGCGCTGGGGGTCTGGCAGTCCCAGAGCACAGGGGAGTAAGAACTGGGGTGGAAATCGACCAGAACTGGGCCAAACCAGTCAGAATTGGGAGAAAACCAGCTCCTTTTCCCCTCGAGGGTCCGCTAGGCAGCCCAACAGCACAGCAGAGCTTGGAGGAGCCTTCCCCGGCACACTGAGAAAGGGAGGCCATGCAGAAGCTACACACACGTCCTGACCTTTCGCTTGTCTCTCAAAGTCATTGCACAGCCGGGTGATCTCCTCCTCTTGTTTCTGTTAGGGAGAAGCTACGTGTTAGAAGCAGACAACCACATCCTGAGTCAGCTGCATCCCGAGGGATTCCCTCCCACTCCCTGGGAAAGGGTCTCAACGTGGCACCAATCCCATGTTCTCCATGCAAACGGCAGCTCGTAGGCTCTCCAGCTGCTCTCACAGCTCCCTGCTGCTGGAGGGGGTGTTTCACAGGAGCTGCCCCAGGAAGCCCTTCTCCCCATTTCTGCGCTGACTTTCTAGTGCCTCTAAGTCCATCTGTTTCCAGTGCCTGCAGGAAACCCCATCCCACCCCATGGAGAGAGCCGGGGAGACAGGCTCCTGCTCACACACTGGGGCTAGGAGGCCCCACCAACTCCCTTTGCAGCAGAGGCAGCTCGCATACGGCCCCGCCAGGGACGTACCATGCGCATGTTTTTCACCACCACCTCGTTGGCCAGCTCCTGCTCCTTCAGCTCCACTTTCAAGGAACGCATGTCTTTACGCAGCTCAATCTCCTGGGCCCAGTGATCCTTCTGGGCCCGCTTCATGGACAGGGTGCCCTCCACCTTCAGCTCGGTGAGGTTCTCCTGGTGTTCGTACAACAAGTGCTTCACCTTCTGCTTGTAAACCTAAAGACAAGCCACAGACTGGGTGAGAGGCTTCAGCGGGAGACACCTATAGTTGGGATATTGGCCAAGATGCTCCTGGCTTGCATCCTGCACAGCTTCTCCTCTTCCCCCTTCAGAGCTGCCCAAGGCTCACATGGAGCTTGGGGCACTCACAACACCTTTAGCCTTCTCCCCTCCCACCTTGATCTCCACTTGATGCCGCTCCTCTGCCTCCTCCATCTCCCGGTCCTTGTTCCGCAGCTCTGCTCTCTTTTCCTCCAGCTGCCGGCGGGTGATCTCCCAGAAGGTGTGAATCTTGTCACGTTCCAGCTGGAAATAGTTGCGCTCTTCCCGTTCCCGGTCGAGCTCCTCCCGGAGACGTGCAACATGTTTCTCCAGCTGCAAAGCCAAGGAGAAAAACCAAGTAAGCGGAAAAGGAGGCCTCAGACAGATGCCTCTGCAAGACACCTATGGCAAGCCATGTCGCAGGACACAGTGGCTGTGGCTGGGATGGAGCAGCTCAAGAGAGAAGGGGAGAAGCCCTAACATGCCCTGGAACTGAAAACCCATCAGTCTCTGGAAAAGGGAGTAACAAAACCTTCTCCTACTGTAAGCAGCCCGGGTTCAGATATTCTGTCTCACAGTGTCCAATAACACCATTCTCAGGTGCCTAAATAATGCCAAGATGTGCAAGATCTTATCTCAAGAGCAATATCCCCAGGCCAGGCCATCTCTTCGTCTGGTTGTAGGACACTCAGAAAAACAAGTGGGACTTGGAGTAATCGAGGGGCAGCGGCTGTACCTTCCATCTCTGCCTGCCCTCCCTGCCCCTACAGGAGCTTCTTGCCCCAGCAGCAACATGACTGAGAATGCAGCAGGCAGCAAATCACATCTCTGGGCTGAGCCATCACCCAGCTGAACCTTCCAGGGCTATGGAGTTGGGGAGAAGACAGGAAGGACAAAGGGCGGGAGAGCTCAGGAAGAGTGAAAGGGAGGGTGGGATGAGGGAGCTGCTTCTTAAAGGAACATTGAGAACCCCTCCAGCCCAGACATGTCAGGCAGTGAAATGAACCCCGACCACTTGCCTCTGTCACCCTCCACCACCTGTCATCCCCAAAGCCGGACCCAGGCACCAAGCAGGGGTCCTCAGCGCTGTTGTTAGAAGCAGCAACATCCTCCTACTTGGAGGTGGGCTGAGAGACAGGGGAGCTCTCACCTGCTCCTTGCTCATCTCCTCTGGGGACAAGACATCCACCACTTCTGGAGCTTTGCTCCCTTTCCCTTTTTTTCCGTCTTTCTTTTTGGGCGCCTAAGGAAAGAAAGCAAAATGCACAAGGTGTGCGTGTGGCTTGGGTGCTGAGAGGAAACTGTGCCGCTCAGTGCCCCCGCACCAGCCCAGGCCATGGCACATACCCGCTCTCATGGTGAGAACGGGATCAGAGGGGTGACAGGGTCCCCCAGGAGGAGCCTGGAAGCCTCTGGAACCCCCGTAACTCATGGCCAGCTGCTGCCAGCTCCGCTCCGCAGTGAACCCCCCAGCCACAAAAGCAAGTAGCCGAACGAAGCCTTAAGAGTGTCACCGGGGCGCCAGGAGCGGCGTCAAGGGGCTCCCTCCCCTCCCCAAGAGCCGGGTGGGACAGGCCGGGGCGGGCCGGGCCCCACCGCCCTCCGCTGCCCGCATCCCCCGCCTCCAGAGGACGCCTCAGCAGCAGGCCCAGAGCCCCCCCAAGCCGCCCCGGGGCTCTCTCTCTTCCCCCGCCCGCCGGTCCCGGCCCAGGCCCAGCCCCGGCCCCGCTCTCACCATGGCGGCTGCCGTTGGCGCCGCGGTCTCCAGGCAACGGGCGCGCGGATCTCGCGAGAGGTGCGCGGCGGAAGGACACGCCCCCTAGCAACGCGGCGCTCCGCCCTGGCAACGGCGGCGGGACCGGCTTCGGGAGGGGGGGGGACACCGGGCCGAGCCCCGGGGGGGGGTCCCCACTGTGCCCCCTGGGCCCGACACCTCTCCGCATCCCCGGGCTCACCGCTGCGGCCCAAGGTCCCCCGTTCTCCCGCGTCCACCTGGGATCCCCCAGCGCTCCGGCTCCCTCCCGAGACCCCGCCGCACGCCCAGGG